TACGAGCCAGGTTATATTGCTTGAGAATTCAGATCGGAGTGACAAGCACCACAGTGAATTAACATTCCACGAACGACTCAAAGATCCAGATTAAGGAAGATGCATGGGGTGTCCTATGGGCCTTGAACAGACCTATTGACTTACAAGACAGTTCTCTCCCCAATTTTAATTCCATTAAAGTAAAAGCTCTTCATAACCCAGAGAAGCAATGACCACACTGCATCTGCCCTGTCCTTCACACTGCTTTTTTAACTGAAGTGGCTTAAGGATTTCCTGTTGGCTGGTTGCGTTGCAAAAGCACTCAAAAAAGGAAGGCCAGGTTATGTGCAAGCTTTTATTATGTGTCAGGCCTGATACACTGACAAGAGGAAACATCAGTGTACTTCAGCTCCAAGTCTCACGTCAAGCTTGTACGGCTTGCACAGATCAAATACACATCAGAATTAAAAAAAAAAAATAAAATCACTTTTCTAAGTGATCTTAATCTATGAACCATAATGTGAAACTTCTGCCCTACACACAGGGCAAAAATGTAATAGGTAAAACTAAGGGAACTACTATGCAACTATAAAAATATAACGTATGTGGGGTTACAGCAAATAGGATAAACTGAGACTAAATCAGATGAAACAGTTTAACTAAACTTGCCCTCTTTATTAGGAACTTCTTATTCTTTGAGCTTTTTGGCTTTTTCAATTGCTTTTCTGATGACATCAGGAAATAAGAGGTTAGAGCCTTATTTGTATTGTAAACATTTCAATAATATACACGAAAAAAAAAAACCTTTTGAAAACAAGTTCTCTAACACACAGATATAGAGTCCTTCTCTGCTACCAACAGATAACAAGAGACTTCCAGACAGTCTAAATACATGAGTATAGACTAAGCACAAAGTGATCTGGACTTAACAACTAAGTGCTTTAAACAATAAATACACATTTGTGATTGAAGTTTTCTGATGTTATTTAAACTGTCATGAGTGGAACAACATTTTAACCCACACCTTTGCAACAAAATTGTCGTGGTTCAAGCCCAGCCGGCAACTTGGAACCACGCAGCCGCTCGCTCACTCCCCCCCTTTTCCTTCCTCCCCCCGCTCCCGGAGGGATGGGGAGGAGAATTGGAGGAATGTAACTCCCACGAGTGGAGATAACAGCTCTCCAGTAACTAAGGTATAATACAAATCACTACTGCTACCAATAATAATGATAAGAGGAATAACAAGGGAAAAGGACACAACCGCTCACCACCCGCCGACCGATACCCAGCCCGACCCGAGCAGCGATCTGGGCCTTCCGGGTAACTCCCCCCAGTTTATATACTGGGCATGACGTGCTGTGGTATGGAATAGCCCTTTGGCCAGTTTGGGTCAGGTGCCCTGTCTCTGCTTCCTCCTGGCTTCCCCTCCTCCCTGGCAGAGCATGAGACTGAGAAAGTCCTTGGTCAGAGTAACCATTACTGAGCAACAACTAAAAACATCGGTGTTATCAGCATTGTTCCCAGACTGAAAGTCAAAACCACAGCACTGCACCAGCTACTAAGAAGGAGAAAAAATGACTGCTATAGCTGAACCCAGGACAAAAATGAAAACAGAACCCCAGTACCCTCACCCTTTCCAGGAATTAACTTCAAATCTTCGGTTTTGTCACACACACATGGAATTGTTGCCTATACATAAAAAGTACATAAAAAGTCCTACAGTCCCTTCTAGTAAGCAAAGTTCCCATTTTTAAAAGCTTACCTCTAACAAGTAAAACAATGAAAAATGGTAAATTGAATCTCGTAAAGAAATAGTGCTGTACAGCAGATGGAATTACCAGCAACTGAAAGCCTGAAAAAAGGGAAACTTCTGCTTTTTATCCTCTCTTTTCACCAACAATTGAACTAATGTTTTTACTAAATCTTTAGAATGAAAAATCAGCTTAATGATAGATATGAGAAACAAGACTCTCAAAATACCAGGCGCAGAAAATCACCCTATATCAGTCTAATCCATAAAATGGAGTTTATGTATTTTATAAATGGATTGCTCTGAAATCCTCTGATAAACACCATAAAAATACTTCTTCATTGGGCTTTATTGATTTGAATAAATAAATTTAAAAGGGGGGGGGAACCCTCTGTATTGAAAGGTTAATAATCAAAAGGCTCAGGACAAGAATGAAAATATTAGAAAATAATACAATTTCTTCCCTTCAAGTGAAGAAAATTGAAAGAAAAGGAAGGTGGGGCTTTGAAAAAATCTCTTTAAATAAATTCTTACATGTAAAAAGACGTTTAACTGATAATCAAGAAATTCCTTTCCAGTCCTGTTTCATATTAAGTAACCTGAAAAATAACAAACCTCTTAAATTCCTATTAAAATCCATTTAGAAGCTTAAAGGTTTAAAGAAACCCATTTAAAAATATTATATTGCTTCTGTGCTTCCATATAAACAGTACATATACAGTTGGTGCAACTGGTAACAAGACAAGAATAGAAATGAAAAATTCTTTATAGTTCAATTGAACGACATATAAAACCACAGTTTCCCCAGCCTTCATCTTAAAACATGAGTAAAGCCTCAGTTTCTCCCTTTGTCCTCCCTGTCTATTCCAGAGCCCAAAGAAATTACTGGTCCTCATTCCAAACGAACTGGCAATTTCTATCAAGTACGTTTCCTAAAAGTTAGTTCATCTGTCATTAAAAAATTAATCTAATTAATCTAAAAGGGAGAGGTTATACCAGAAGGCAATTAGACATCTTTCCTAATAGCAACCCTGTTCTTCTCTCAGTTGTCAAAACAGTCAAAAAATATGTTCTTCTCTATCTGTTCTTGGAAGCTAACAGCGATATAAACCTGCTGTTAAAGAGCATGGTGAGCACTACAACATTCAGCGAAGAAACACGCCGACACAACACTTTGATGCATGATAATGGCTTTATGAGGAAAACCAAATGGTTAGTCCACAAATTAAGCAGTTTCCTTCAAAGTGAAAGTCTGAAGTCTTATTTTCATTAACATTATTTGGATAGATTTGTTATTCAGGATGAAAGCGTTCTATTCTTAAAAAAAAAAAACCTATGTGGAAAAGTTGAAAAGTCGTTTTGCATTGTGGTGGTTTACCTTTCCAGACCTGAATTACTGTGGTCTCTTTTTAGCAGAGGATAAATTTCCATTAACACATTAAAGTAAAAAAAAAGTTACCTAAAGCTAATGCATGGACAAACACTATGTGAAGCAGTTGTCAGTAGGAACTGGTAAATTGGACCTCCTTAATTCTAATGCGAAAAGCTAAGTAAAAATGCTATTTCAGTGTATGCAACTCCAGTCATTTTTAAACATTTTTAAATTGGTAAGTTTCTAGATGGATATATTGACACACTTTTACATCCTAAAAGCATTTACATTTGTTTTTAAAACAGTTTTCAGCTGTTCTTTAAAATAAACAGAATAAAAACACTGTTCCTGTAGTTAGTAGCAGTAGCTCTCTTGGGGCTCCAGCAATATGAGGACAACCTCCCTAACATAGCAGCAAACCTGGCAAAGAGTAAAATGTTTCTAATATGACATTTCAATTATGCCACTCTGGGCCACCTACCAATTTGCCTCATTAATCTTCTGTTTGCTCACAAAGACTCAGCTTTCATATTCTCCTTAAGCAAGATGAGCTGCTTCAGAAGCACTCCTCTACTGTTCTGACACATTTTTCAGTAAGGCAAATGGTAAAGACAACCTTTGACCTGAGTGGGTCCAGAAATGAGACGTCATGGAACACTCCTGCTTAACTTAGGGGCTGAATTTTCAAAGTGGTACTAACTAAAGCTATAGACAGACTCAATCAAGTGAGCAGCAAAAAACCACCATGCCAAGAGGCCCAAGAGCCACCAGCTTTCACACTAGCAAAACCACAGATATTTGCCAAGCACCTGTATGAAGGGCAACCTGTATGCTTAGCTTTTGGGTGTGATTTTTTTTGAACTTTCATATTGACAGCAGTGAAGCTCATGAATAAATCAGAAGGGGCATCACAGCATGGCCTGGACACTACTGCATGCCAGTTACTGTTACCCTTGCCAAACATCAAGTGCATTCACATCACTTAGCTTCTCCACGCAGACACAACATATGAATGATGCTTTGCAGGAACATAAGTGAAAAGCTTTACCTTACAGGGAAGGGAAACACTTTTATTAGCAAATGCTTCAAGTAAGTGAGCCTGCAACTTGAACTTGCAGAAACTGCCTGAGACAGTGTCTTCTCTGAGGTCATAATATACACATTTCTCCATTACAGATAAATCTAGAAGTAGACGGTATACCAAAGCTCAGAAGAGATTCAGTAGTACAGGATATCAAGCTAAAATACTGGCTATTTGCATTATTTAGCAGCCATCTATAAACACCAATGTTGCCTAACTAGTGTGCTCTATTATATTTCAGCAAATTCGTGATGACTTAATACTATAGTTATTTTGATTGTGCTTCCGTGATTGACATTAGTGATTTTGGTATACTCCCTTCATGTTTCTAATTAAGACTTTGAAACAAAAACAGACACTGTGCTCCCCTGACATACAGCTGGAGAGCTATGTCCCTCAAACTCTGGAACACTGAAAGAAAGACCACTCCAGAATCTTTCCCAGGCTTCACACACAGTTCTGAGCAGCTAGACTGACAATAGAATCAGTGTCATATGGATTAAGCATACAGTGCAGACAACTAGTAAAGCTAATAACCCACGTAATTTCTTATTGAATCCTGTCAATTTAATTTAAAGTGCTCTCTAATAATCTCAGATATGAATAACAAGGTTGACAGGAATCAGCATTGCAGGAAGATATGGCCTGAACAATCAACTCCTCTTCACAGCTACCCCGAGTTAAGGCCACCCACTTATACTGCATGCAAGTACAATAACCAGAGCTCTTTCATACCATCCAGCCTACTTCGATCGCTCCGACAAAGAGCAACTTTACTTCAGCTATACCAAAAGATGACTTAAGGATACCTACTTGTGCTAAGTTTGCAAAGGGCATACGTAAGATAAAAATGCATCTATTTGATTCCTAACAATTACTTCTTTTGGGTGTAAGTTATGTGGCAGGTAGTGAGCCAGAGACATCTCCCAAGCATCCACAAAGTGCACAGCAATTCCTGAGAACATTTTCCTCATGACAGAATCAAGCTGAAAGGAATACCAATCACTGTTAAAGAGGCTCACTTCTGGCCCAAGCTCCTGAACATTGGCAGTTCTGATGATGATTAAAGTCTTGGGACTGCGATCCAGCAGTTGAATAATTGATCTCCGAATGTTCCTCAGCCGCCGGATATACACTTCCACAGGGAAAGTGCTGAAGTGGGACCATATAGTTATGGCTATCACTGTGTTTCTCCCACCCACTATGCCATTCAGTTCATTGGCAATGTAACGCAGTTCACTGCTAAAGACTGTGGAGAAGCGAATGGGTGGCCCGTGGCAGCGGAACTTCAGTAGGATATTGTGCTTCAGGTCCACAGACATGAAAGGCCCCACGTTCTTAGGACTCCCCAGGTTAAATTCCACTAGATCTGAAAACCCAAGAGCAAGCATTAGTGAAAGACAGTATAAGACATTAACACTGCCAAAAAGATACTAGGAACACAGGGCAAGAGCAGCAGTAGATAAGGAAATCTGAGCATACTTCTGAGAACTCTAAAATGAAACAGAAGATGCGTGTCATGCATGTGCCAGCTGCATATTTCAGTGTTTTTTCTGGGTGTTGAAATCTGCAAGACAGCACACTTCAACTTCACAAGGCTGTCCATGCCTTTCCCAAAATATTTCCTCTCTCTCTCATAAAAAATATTTTCCAAATAGACTCCTTCAGTTGTTGCCCTATAAATCCAGTGCCCATGGGAATCCTCCTGGCGACTTTAGGACTCCATTAAATTTAAAGATTACTTCAACTTACAGACATTAAGGAGTCTCAAAGTCTGTATTCCAACACAATTTAAGCACTTTAGGGGTGAGAGGTGAGAAAGGAATATCTATTTGGCTACTGAAATTGTGTTACTTAGGCTAAAGTAAGTAAAGTACAAGAAAGGGCTCAAAACCAGTCAACAGTAATGGAAGTCATTGGATGGAATAAAGTATCATTGCAAAGTCAGTTGTGTGACTGGGATGCTGTAAGGCCTTATGAAGCAACCCTAAGTGATTTCTGCCATGCCCCCTTAACTCACAGCCACAGCAGCAGTCCTCACTGGTGAAACGTGGACAAGGACAAATTTGCAGACACCTTGTGGCCCCATTTCCAAGGCCTACGTGCTTCCAGAGTCTGCTCTAACATTTGACTAACTACCTATCTACCAGGACTCCCAGTAATGTTTTGTCTTTCCTCTTCCTTTATGTTGTCACTGTCATTCAGCAAGACCAACTCTGTGTCTGAGATGTTAGAAATAAAACTTTGCAAAGTTCTTTAAGGACAAAACCAAATTTAAAAAATAAAAAATAAAAAAAATAACCTGGAACAAATGCTGTCAGATATTCAAACCACTGCCTTATCGTAGAGTCTCCAAACAAGTGGATTACTTTTCCTTGCAAGCACTTGGTTATATCATCAGAGTTGTTAAAATGATGGATCCAGTGTGTTCTGGACCTCCACTGATCTTCATAATAATAGCCAGAAGGGGAAACAGTGGAATCTTCAGCTCTGTCCATACTGCTTGAATCTGGAAGAGACAAATTCTTATTTGTCTTACTTGAAATTAATGTATAGCAGAAACCAACCACCACAGCCTTCATGGACGTATCACCAGTGGTGTATAAACATCTTCCCCAGTTTAAAGCAAAAGAGTATGATGTATCACACCGAATAAAAAGTTTATAGAATCATAAATTCATAGAATAGTTTGTGTTGGAAGGGACCTCCAGAGGTCATCTAGGCCAACTGCCCTGCAATGAGCAGGGACATCTTCAACTAGATCAGGTTGCCCACAACCACATCCAGCCTGGATGCATCACAGTTCTGGAAGCTTGATGCGTGACAATTCTGTAAGCTCAAGTATTTCACGCCTTACTTCTGCAGCAAAACCTGCAATTACTGGCAGAGTTAACTGAACTATCACGGTTTCACCTGGTTCACATTAAATGGTGTCTCTGATGATAAAGTACAAAGTAGCGAGTACCAGCCACCTTTCAACACTTGGACAGAAGCGCTCAAGGGTGGGTGCTTGCAGAGGATACGGAGAAGCAGGGGCCCCCCGTGCCGCGGCGCTCTGCTGCCCCCCAGCGGCTGTCCTG